GTTGTTGGGGCCCTGGAGCAGCTCGATCCGCGCGTTGAGCGGCCGTCCGTCCGTCTTGAGCAGGACCTGGACGCTGTCGACCGAGGGGTCGAAGGGATAGGTGCGGAGGGCGCCGCCCTGGATGGTCATGCGCGTGTCGGGCGATTCGGCCGACGGGACGTCCACATTCTCGGCGACCACGTTGGCGGCGAGGGGGAACTCGATCTGGCCGATGTTGCGGATGGCGATCGTGTTGGGGCCGCGGGGCGTCTCGACGACGGCGCTGAAGGGGCGGAGCTGGCCGTTCTCGAAGTAGACGCGCATCTGGGGGTGCGTGTGACGTATGCGTAATACGTGGTGCGTAAGCCCACCGCCGACGAGGAGCAGCGTGTTGGAGATGAGCATCGATAGCGTGACCGTCACCGGGGAGGCCATGGCGCGCACGTCGGAGCCAAGCCGCTGCGTGAGGTCTCCGGTTCGCATCCCGTCGAAGAAGGCGATGTCTTGCTTGATGAGCTGCCGGAAGAGCGTCTCGCGCACCGAGACGATGATCCTGCGCGAGATGAGGTTGAAGCAAAGCGACGAGAGGCCTCCGAGCGCGCCTGCGGCCGTGTGTCTCGGAGGTGTCTCGGAGGCGTCAAGCGGGGCGGGGAGAGGGGGCGTTCGAGGCGCGCCGAGCGCGACGGAGCAGCCGAGGTAGAGGAGGATCACCTGGAGGCGGAGAGGGCTGGGGTCGGGTCTCTTGCAATAGGGCCGGGGCCAGGGATGCGGGCAGGCTAGGCCAGCCGAGGGGGAGGAGGTCTCGATGCGGGGAGGGGGCGGGAGGAGGAGGGCACCTGCAGGAAGGAGGCCTTCGCCGCGCCGCACTTGCCCTCGTGCGCGCCCGGCGTGCCGGGCATGCACGCCTGCGAGCCGGCGATGACGTGGTCGAAGATCTGCCCCTGGAAGTTGGGCAGGAAGAGGCGGAGCGCAGAGGTTGTCACGACGCAGAGGAGGGCGACGCCGAAGAGCGGCAGCTGCGGCAGGGCGAGCTTGAGGCCGCGCCGAAAGTACTGCGAGGTGGTGAGAGCGCCGCCCGACTTGACGCCCTTGTCGCCGCGCAGCACGCCCTCCCCCGTCGAGCGGTCCTTCTTGTTGAAGCAGGCGGGGCAAGCGTCCCAGTCGCAGAGCGGGCAGCGGTAGACCTGGCCCGTCTTGTTGCGGCAGAGGTCGCACTTGTGGTTCGGAACGCTTGGGTGGAAGTAGAGCGGGTGCGAGTGGAACTCGGGCACGAAGAAGCCCACCTCCGCCGTCAGGGCGTGCACGAGCCGCTTGAGCAGCCACGACTCGACGTTGATCAGCAGCACCGCCACGCCAAAGAGCACGCCTTGCGCAGTGAGCACGTGCGCGTCCCTCTCCCACTCCCCGCGGAAGGAGATGCACTTGACTCCGACGTACACCTGCGCCGCCGTCGAGACGCCGAAGATGGCCGCCACCAAAAGGCCCTTCCGCACCTCCGCCGCCTCTTTGAGCGCGTGCGAGCGGAGGTGCTCCGCCTTGACCGCGTGGGTCGGCTGCGCAGCGCCGTTGCCGCCGCTCTCGGGTGGCACCACCTCGCAGACGCTGCCGCCGCCGCTTCCGTTCAGCAAGAGGGGCGCCAAGCCATCGACCTCGGCTGGCGCCGCCGTCAAGTTTGGCGTGCCGCACCGAACGGCGGCAACGCCGAGAGTGGCGACCAGCAGCGTACGGAGGATGAGCAGGAGGAAGAGATCGAGTGTATCGTCACGAAAGTCACCAAGCTGAGCCCACGACCAGGCTGGCGGCGACTTGCTCCTGATGATGATGGACGGCGCCAGCCGTAGCAACAGCGTGCCCACGACATCCAGGACGAGAAGAGCGAGAAGCGCAGCGAGGAAGAGTCGGACGACACGGCCGCGCTTGCGTGTGAGGAGAAGCACGTCGAACTGTTCAGTGAAGCCCATCAGCCGCGCGCCTCGGAGCGACCAAGTCGCGAGGCAGGATAACAACGCCAGCCAGTCACAGCGGAGCTGGGAAGAGGACGAGTCACTCTCCTGGGTTCCCGCTCCTACCCAGATAGGGGGTCTGTTCGGCTGAGTCGCGCCAAAACGCCCTACCTACCTACCTATTGCGGGCGCCGACCGCCAGGCTCCGTGCCCCACCTACCTACCTATTCCCAGGCCGCGCAGCGAAGCGAAAAAATACCCGTTAGCCCTCTGTGAATAGGCTCCCAGCGCCCGCCGCGCCGGCTTGTACCGCGGTGCGGCACCCGTCTCGGCTGGCGTCCCGGCCGCAGGCGACTCGTCTGGCATGGCCCCGTTTCGCGGCTAAACGCGCCGTCTCCCGCGCGAGCTTTTACCCCCACCCCCCCAACCCCCCACACCACCGCCACCTACCTACCTATTGCGGGGCCCTCTGGGGCGGTCAAAACCGGACCTACCTACCTATTGCATAGGGTCCAACGGGTGCCGACAGACCCCCTATCTGGGTAGGAGCCGGAACCCTGGGCGCGCCTCTGGCACTAAAGCGGAACTGGTGCAGGTAGCGCCTAAAATCGCCGGGCATGTCTGGGTTCGGCGTGTAGCTGAGCACTGTCAGGATTGTCACGCGACCGCTGTCCGCGTTGGCGGGCCTCTCGATAATCGCTGAATCCAAGGTTCGCCCGCAGAGCGACGACGCTCGGCACTGGAGCGGAGCCCAGTCGGCCGCCGGTCGCTGGAAGCACCCCGACTCGGAACATGGGCACGCCGAAGCAGGGAATGCATCATTTCGCGGCATACATCGTGTTGCATAGTTGGATCGGTAGTTGGGGTCGCACGAACAGGCGATCTTCGTCGTCCCTAGCGTAGGACGGCCACAAACAGTCCGGGTCGCGTTGGCACCACACGAAAATATGCCGTGGCAGCCGGCATCAACCCACATTACGTCGGCGTGCCCAACCTCATCTTCCACCCCTGCCTCGCGTTCGTGGAACTCACCAAGAACCCGATCAAGGCGAAGGAATTCGCCGCGGGGCTGCAGCTCTTAGCTCCGAGGGAGAGCTCTTTCTTGTTTACCAACAACCTCGGCCATGTTTACCAAAAAAAATCTTGAGAACAAAAAACAAGACGTGCGCGATAATCGTCATCGCGTGTTGCCGTCCTCCCATCCCTCCCTTGGCGTGTCTGTTTTGTTTCTTTCTTTTCTTTGTTGACCTGCTGTCAAGCTCCTGCGTCCTGCACCCCGGACCATGCCATCCTGCTGTCCTCTCTTCCCGGCGACTAAAGATGTTTTTTTTTTCTGACGTGACTTGAGTGAGTGCTCGGGGCGTCACCATTCCAGCGGGGATGATCTCGCCCACTGGCAGCCTCTTGCAGCCAAGTGGCCAGCTGGGGCAATCTGTGTTCGGGCCAGTCGTTCCGCCCGCCTCGCCCAAGAAGCTCGCCTGGCTGGCCGCTCATCACTGGAGCCACGCCGACGACCTCAAGCGGTGCATGCGCGGAGAGTCATCGGAGGACGAGGGCGGCGAGAGCCCACGCAAGCGCAGCAAGCATGGAAAACGCAAGAAGCAGAGGGACAAGAAGAAGGACAAGGAGGACAAGGAGGACTCCCCCAAGTCTGTCATTCCCGCAGTGACGCCGCAGCTGTCTCCGCGCCTCGCAAACTGCCGCACCCTCCCCGGCTGCTACCGCTCCGCGGGGCTGCCCGAGGCGACCTGCAACGGCGCGCCGCTCATGCCAGGCCTCAACCTGTCGCCGCGGAGGGGCGGAAAACTGCCCGTCGCATCTCCGTCTCGAGCGGGGCTGGTGACGACTGGAAGGTACCCGCCACAGTTCCGCCTCGACTCGGGCTGGCCGTGAGAGCCCTGCCTACGCACGCGGGCGTGAGATGCCTGCCGCCCGGCGGCGAGAGCCCGATGCGGGGTCAAGTAGGGCCCTAGCTGGCGGCGTGGGAGGACGACGACGGATGTGCAATACGTTCGCGGGAGAGGCGGATGACTGATGGTCGCTGTTGGTGGGGTGGTCTCGAGTGTGGTGGTGTTCAGAGGGTCGCCCATGGGGCACGGTGTTCGTTAGACGGCCCGACTGAGGATTGTGCAAAAACGCGAACGGGTTGGCAGATCGTTGCATGTTTTGGGCAGGTTTTGGGGTTCGTGGACGTGGTTCACCACTTGGCCTGCACAAGCTTTTCCGGCAAACAAAAAGGAAAACAGAGGGTCCCCAGCACTTTGCGTTTCCGGAAATTTCCAGGGAAAACAGAGGGTGTTTGGTGCTCCATTCTGGAAACTCGCGAGTTTCCCTGAGTCTGAGAGCTGGTCTGGGGCAAAATCTGACGCAAAATTGAGGAAATCGGCACGATACCCAGGCGGTCGCAGGGTATTTTCCAGGTATACCCGGGGGTTTCCAGGAACACCCGCAAAATAACCGGTATTTTGCCGATTTGGCTGATTTTGGGCCCAAACCAGCCTCAGACTCGGCTCAGAGCCCGGAAAATTTGATGGTTTCCCCGGAATTTTCCCGGGAAAATAGAGAGGAAAAGAGAGGGTGCTGTAGAGAAAAAGGGAGAAAGGAAAGGAAAAGAGACGGGGTGCGAGAGGAAAAGCTTGTTCAGCCTAATTCACCACTCTGGAGAGAGCCACGCTGGCGCCGAACCTGACCTGTCGGACCTTAAAAGAGCGCAGTCTAGCGCGTGTGGCCGAAAGGTTTTGTTCTTTTCACAGCTTCGCGGTTCCCGAGGAGTCTCGAGCTTCAGCTGGGACTCGAGAGTGGCTCCAGACCGCGAAACACACACCTCATGGCAATGCACCGGCTCGCTCACTTCTCCGCCGATCGCTCTCCGATGACCCCTACCGACCGCATTGCCTCCGCGGCACAGCGGCTTGCGCACGACTCCGCTGCAGTCGACACGCTCGAGGCCTCCTTCACGAAGCTGCTCAAGGAGCCACACCGCGAGCGTTTCCGCAAGGTCAACTTGAGGAGCCCTGCGATGCAGCGCGTCGCGGCAGTCGGCGGTGCGATGGAGATCCTGCACGCGACTGGCTGGGAGCACGCTCCGCACGGCCACCTCCTACTCAACACGTTGGAGCCTCGGCTGATTGAGGCGGCGACCGCGGCTTTGCAAAAGGTTCAGGCGAGCCATCCGGGCTACCTGCGGGATCGCGAAGGCCGCAGAGCGGGCGCTGCGCGCGCCCGCGAGAGCGCGGAGGCCGCAGCGGCCGACCTGGCTCGCCGCCAGCACTTTGCCAGCATGCTTCCGGCGGAACCGGCTGAGGGCGCTGCGGGCGCGGCGGCCATCTGCGTACACCTGGGCGGCGAGAAGAAGGTTTGGCGGCGCTTCGACAGCAACATCGACACGCTGAAGGATCTCGTCCACTGGGTCTCCTCGCTCGAGGGCGCCCCTCCCTCCCCGCGGCTCGTGAATGTCACGCAGAGCCCGTCGCTGCCTCTCGACAAGGAGCGGCAGGCGGGCCTCTCGCTGCACCACCTGGACCTCTGGCCGTGCGGGCACGTGAAACTGGTGGAGTGCGCCTGATGGCGTTCCGATCCGATCGTCGCAGACAAAGAGTAGTAAGTGGTCTTTCCGCGTTATGTGGGCTGTGAGTTCTTGTGTCTCGTTGTGAGGGTCGCGGCCCGCAGGCAGATATTTGTATCCCGAGTCGGCCCGCCGAACCTGTAGGGCCTGAAGGCTTCGTGCACTGTGGTCTGTTCCACCAACTAGAATTTGCGGGCCAGAATCAGTTTAAGGGGGAGGGACGCACGGCGCAGGACCAGGAGGCAGGACGCCAATTTTAAGTGTACGTGGCTCTCATCTCGAACATACAAGCTGGACTGTTGACAAGATTTTGCCTCCCGGACTTGATATGTACGTGACCGGGTTTTTCTTCTTCAGCCTGCACCCGAGGGTTTTACCAAGCTGCCAACCCTATTCACCCACTCCGGGCCCTGGGCTGGTTGGTTGGTCCCGCACTCTGCGCACTCCAGGCCTCCAGATGTTGGTTGGTTAACGGGCGGCCACGCCGTAACGGTCGTAACGGCGCCTTCCCCTGGCACCCCAGCGCGTCTAACAGGCCACTGTGACCCTCGTGACGCAATTTCAGGAGATGGACAGTGGTGAGAAGCTGAGGGAGGGTGTAGAGGATGTAGAGTGTAGAGCGCTGTAGAGCTGTAGAGCTGGAGAGTGCTGTAGAGCTGTAGAGCTCTACATCCACCGCGTGACGAGGCGGGTGCGTTGTAGAGCGATGTAGAGGCGCTCTACAACGTGAAATCTCTACAACAAACTCTACATCATAAGCGGCGAACGAGGCACGGTCGCTCTCCGACATGAGGCGCGTTGCACTTACCAGTGCTGCCCTGGCCTTCTGTCTGCCCGCCCAATGGGTGGGAGGTGCCTCTGCTGCTGTGGCATGCCTCACGGCTGCGACTGGCCGGCGCCTCGGCGCGTCAGCTCGGCTTGGCGTAGCGATCGTGGCCAGCGCAACTCGCCTGGACTCAACGCTCAGCCAGGAGCTCCCGCACGCGCTGGCGCGAGTCATGGCGCATGCAACGCGTCTGAATGCTCGCCTCGCCTCGCGCAAATGCGACCGTCCTCGCAGCCGATAGTCCACCGCCTGCTAAAGAAGCACAGCGACGAATGCGGCACCGGCGACGCATGGCAGGCTGGTCATGACGCAGTTATAGGGTGTTGTGTGCCGTCAGAGTGACCGTCTCTGTGTGTCAGTGATAGTCAGGGCCGTCCATCAGAGCTCCAGTAAGCTCGGAGACACCCCATTAGTGCGACTCGACCTCTTTGAGTCACTGCCTTCCCGGCGGTTTGGCTGTAGAGCCTCTACAACAAACTCTACAGCAAAATCGCGCTCTACATCGCTCTACAACGCACCCGCCTCGTCACGCAGCCGATGTAGAGCTCTACAGCTCTACAGCGCTCCAGAGCGCTCTACATCTCTACAGCTCTACAGCGCTCTACACTCTACATCCTCTACACCCTCCCTCAGGTGAGAAGATGGATCTGGGAGCCTGAAGAGGCGTGAAATAGCCCATTTTGACCCATTTTGATGTCCTCGTGTTGAATACGCGGAGCGAAGAAATTATTGACCCGTGGGCGACCCTGGCAGGACCCTGGCCGGCCCAGGAGGTTGGATGGCTGGTCCCGCACTTCGCGCACTCGGGCCCGGAAACAGTTGGTTGGTTGGTGGGGTCTTTTGCGCAGTGTGCGTGAATAGGGTTGTCTGTGCTTGTGCGTCTTGGGTCCGGAGTTGTGCGTTTATGTGAATAGGGTTGGCAGCTTGGTAAAACCCTTTGGTGCTGGGCTCCTCGGCTCGGCGCACTGTACCCCGAGGAAGGGCCGCCTCCACGGCCGCCTCCCCGCGCATGGAAATCGGCTCCGCGTACGGTCGCCTGTGGTCGATACAGCAGCTGTGTCCATTCGCCGACGCTGGCCTCAACGCGCTCGGCCTCCTCGGCGCCGCCGGCGCCGTCGACGCTCGACCAATCCTCTCGGACGGCGATTTCTACGTCCGTCTTCCGCTCTGCCTGCTCACCCTCTTCTACCCTACGCGCAACGCGCTCCTCCTGGCGCACGTGGTGAACCTGGCGGCCTTCTGTGCGTGGACGCCCTTCGTCTGGGACCATCAGTATTGGGGTGCCGCGACGGAGGCCACGTTTGTGCTCCTCTCCATGCGCAGCGAGAGCGACTTTGTGGGCGCCGCTCGCGCACAGACGGCCTCACTCTACCTGGTTGCAGCCTTCTGGAAGCTCACCACCTCGTTCCTCGACTACCGGACCAGCTGCGCGACCGTCCTCGTCGCAGAGGCGCTTACCCCTGTCCTTCTCGCAGCGCTCCGCTCGGCAGCCTCGCTCAGTCTCACCTACGCTACAGGCGCTCGTCGCGCTGCCCAAGCTGCTCCAGGCCGTTGCCTCCTCGGCCGCCGAAACCATCTTCGTCGCGGCGCCGGCTCTGACCTTGGTGATGGAGTTCGCCGTCGGCCCTCTCCTCGTGATGTCGCCGGGCTTGGGTTTCCCTTTCCTTTCGCCCGGCACCGCGGCACCGGCCCCTCCCCCCAGGGGAGTCCGTTCGCACACAGGCGTGCTACTGGGCCTCTCCTTCCCCCTGGGGGTGGCCACCCTCCCCCTCAACTAGGGGGGGGGGTTT